TAACTGTACATATCTGAGTATACTACCATAAGGCTGTAAAGTATATTTACAGCCTTATCGTACCAGCAGAGAGAGGTAAAGGAAAAATATTTTTTAACAAAAATATATATAATACAGGGTCCCAAAGTTATGAGACATGAAGGAAAAGTACCTTAAATATCGAGATAGGGTATTTTACTAAAAGAAGACTTTATGTTATTTATAAAGTTAGTAATTCTGCATTCAAAGATTTTTTTAAAACTATTGCCTCGTCTGGAAATCGAACCGGCTTAAATTAAAAAAAAACACCCCTACTTTTATGATGCCAATCGAAAGAATGGCCAAAACCTAACAACTTTTCTAAAGTAACAGACTCGTAGGGGATTTTTTAGGCCGAATACGATAGATAATGTTTTTAATTTGATTAAAAGATATATTCACGCTGTTCCTTTCTTTTAAAATACTATGTTACTTAAGAAGAGTTATTAGTTTTTGGCCATTCTTTCTGATTGGCATCATAAAAGTAGGGTGTTTTTTTTACATTTAAGTTCGATTCCCAGACGAGGCAAGTAATTTTTAAAAAAATCTTTGAATGCAGAATTAATAACTTTTAAAAATAACATAAAGTCTTCTTTTAGTAAAATACCCTATCTACGATATTTAAGGTACTTTCCCTTCATTTCCCATAACTTTGGGACGCCCTGTATTGGTAGGCGGTGGTATAATCTGCCATTTCACAGACTAGCGGACTATCGAAAGTGTACGGCATTTATCTTTTATCGAAGATTGTCTAAAGTATTAATAACCTGTGTTATTGCCGTACAGATAAAAGTCACCGGAAAATGACTCTTTTCTGAGAAAAGTAATTTGCCCCATACACCTATGTGTTCCACAAAAAATGTACGGCATGCTGGAAAATGTTATCTATTTGTGAAGTACTCTCAAGATCATTTAATTTTATGTTGATTCATATCATCATCACCTATATGCTAATCAGACATATGTTGCGACCCTTGGCTTTCGACCGCTCCGCTGGGAATATGTACGGCGTTTACGGGTAAAGTATCTGTATATGTGTCCAAAAGGAATGACACAAATGCCGTACAGTAATAAATGACCTATATTGCTCCTGCAACTGTCGTCGAATTAAAAATTTGCACCGACTTCCGGCACCATCACTTTTGTACGGCACTAGGTTTTTCGACATTTATTTTTAATCATCTATACACTTATACTTAGCCGTACATTAATAATTAGTCGAAATTCCCCCATTGTACATGAGAAAGTCCATTCACTCACGTACTCACATGTACCGCTCAGAAATGACGGCATAGTGCTCAGAGCTATTTTCAGATATAGTAACAGCCTTCTAAGCGTAATTCACGTTGGGTCATTTCACAGGTATTTTTTGTTCATGGGCTTGTGGTCTATAACGGTGTTTACAATTTTACGGTGACATATACACAGAAGTCTTTGTTCATTGTTTTGTTTAATTTTAGAGTTCCGTTGGTCAATTTGTAAAACCCTTCTTGATATTTTAAAGTGTATATCGATAGTAAAATATTTATAGTTATATCGGCTGAGAATCCATTATTTTAACCAACAAAAGATTTAGTTTTTCTTGTTGTTAGATCTATTATGCTAGGACCACCCAAGGTTGAAGAGACCTCTCCTGAAAAATTGGACGAATCCATTGAACCAAAAGGTCAATCTAAATCATCCCGGCAACCATCTCCATCCTCTAGAAGTACTAGATCTAAATCCAAAACTACTGAGATGGATATCAATGCCCTTCTTAAATTTATTAAGCCTTACGATGGCAGTAGAGAAAACCTTAACGCTTTCATTATTAAATGCACTAACGCTATGGACCTGGCGTCAGACCGAATTCCTTTAGTTTAATTATAAATAACCAAGTAGTAAACACATTGCAATGACCAAAGATAAGACTCATTACTGCAATATAGACAACCTTGAACTCTGTATAACTATACAACCCTTTGAGTTCATTTGTGAAAGTGAATTTTTGTCTAAAATTATCAGCGAAGTTCCTAAACAGTGTGATACAAAGTTTATATTTGGTAGTCTTGATATCTGGAAACCGATACAGAATAATAGGTGGCTTTATGTTCAAACCAAACCTAACAAAGTATCTATAGATTGTATAAATTATATGCATGAAATTAATATTATAGGAACTGGTATACTTACCATTCCCGACCGTTGTACCGCGTTCTGTAAAAGTACTACATAGTACATTGACACCTAAATATAATGTGTTAAATATTACGTCACCAATTAATAACATTTCAGAATTTAATGTAATCAATGACCCTTGTTGTAACTATGCTAAGTTTAGTGTTGTAATAGATAATGTGTCCCCTATTAATCTTCAAAATATAGATCTTGATGAGATGAATCCGAGAGGTAAACTTTTAACAAATTCTTTTTTTACATAGTCTAAATAATATTGAAAACAAACCTCACATTATCAAATATGGGACACACTACTTTACTTTAGTAATAATTATTTCATTTATTGTAACCTTATATCTATTATTTTTAAGTTTTAAACTTTTAAAATACTTAATGTTACTTTATAAGAATAAAATAACCGTAATAGATGAAACTTCCCACAGAACATGACTTGAAACACACAGAAATAGAAGATTTTGCTCCTACAAGGACACAAATATAACCAAAACTTATTTACCCTATAAGTTTTGTCTAAAAGGGGGAGATGTTATACCCCTAAATTATAAGCCTTAATGCTAACACAATATTAAAGACAGTCATGTCATCATAAGCTAAAACAGTCATGTCATCATAAGTATGGGAGATAGACACCATCCGTTTGGTAGTAGTCAGAACGGTTATTTTTAATCAATCCTAATTACGAGTTTTAAAAATGTTGTATTAATCATTCCATGTTAATAAATATAGTTAATCAAAATAAGTTTTTTTTTTAAACTTAAATCCAAGAACTCGTATAACAGTACGTAAGAAATGTCGTTTAACATTTTCTTCTCAGAATTTCTTGCAAGTCCGAATGCCACGCAAGTCTTTTTTTCGGGTATGTATAGCCTATGTCACTCACAAATAACGTTGCTTTCTGTTAGTAAAACAATTATTAAAATCGGTTCGGTATGCTAAGTAGCCTTCTATATTGTATTAGTAAAAATACAAAACAAATTAAATGTAATTATAATAAATAAATAAAATAAACACACCAAAATCATAAGAATCTCTTTATTGTGATATAAGCGTTATACACACGTACATAACCTGCCAATAATTACTTACAATACTGTACATTTTTACATTTAAACTAAAATATCAAATTCGAGTTATATCTATATAAAAATAAACATTCAAACTTATGCAGGTACATAAAGAGGCACCGATAAACTAAGAGTGAAAGGCGAAACTCGGGCGCATTTTTCGAACAATATCATTAGAGACAAGCTAATCTATTGTTCCGTTAGACCAATCACAAACGAACAAGATCTTTAGACCAGAGACAAGCTTCTCTATTGTTCCGTTAGACCAATCACAAACGAACAAGATCTTTAGACCAGAGACAAGCTTCTCTATTGTTCCGTTAGACCAATCACAAACGAACAAGATCTTTAGACCAGAGACAAGCTGATCTATTGTTCCGTTAGAGCAATCAGAAACGAACGAGACGCGTCATCATGATATATTCTCACCTCTCAATTACATTTAATATCTTTTAGAGGGAAGGTGAGTAGTAAACTTAGCTTTACCACCATTCGAACTACCGTCAAATTTATAAAGTCAACGTTCATAGTAAAATAAGCTTAATTTAATTTAAGAAATTAACAACTTAAAGAAAATTCTCCATCAAAATTATTTAACGCACGATAGTCATTTATTAGCGTTAAATAATGGTTTTATGTTTCTTTACCTGTACGAGCAATTTCTAATTGCGCGCATATAACCAATACGAAGTTCCAAAGTGTTCTACCTGACTGGCATTTTTAACCCCCTTACTACTGATTAGTGTATGGGTGAAATCCCTGTTTTACTCTGCTGTATATTTTCAGTTTGTTTAGCTTTACAATAAGACGAAGTCCGAAGATTAAACAAAATTCAAAATCTAGATTTAAAATAGTTCATGCACTTTGCCTGTTTTTGTTAAGAAATTTATTCCTTTATGCCCGCCTTCCGCTGCGAGCGGAACGGACCCATTACGGACTCCGCTATGCTCGTAACGATGATTTTCATACATGTGCTTCCACCAAAGCGGAGACGAGCGCAGCGGAGAGAGCGAGTTGAAAGAGTCACATATGAGGTTAGCGAGTTGACCGAGTTCCCACGGATATGAAAATGTATGAAAATCATCGTTACGAGTATAGCGGAGTCCGTAATGGGTCCGTTCCGCTCGCAGTGGAAGGCGGGCATTATACTGTTTCATCCAAGATCAGTATCCAAACCAGATATTGTCACAACTTAAATGTTCAATAGCTACCATACATAAATAATGTTTTTTTTTTGTATTAAGATAATCTCAAAAAATACACTTTTCTCTCACCACGAACATTATGCCCAAAAAACTTCAGTACCATGTAGTTTTACTAACATACTTTATTTTAAATACCTTTGCTTTCTATTCATTGTTACGTAATCCATAAGATCATTCATAAACATAAAATATCTTTAGTCCAGAGACAAGCTAAGCTGTTGTTCTGTTAGACCAATCCCAAACGAACGAGATCTTTAGTCCAGAGACAAGTTAATCTATTGTTCCGTTAGACCAATCACAAGCAGAAAAGATTTGAAGCACCACACAGTAGCTTGAACTTGAGTAAAGATCATAAAATAATTTAGTAAAAAACAGATGCGACACTGCAAACAGGGTAATTGAAAACAGAAGTCTGAAAGCGAACTAACAAAAATATTTTTTTCAAGTACCAAGACGATACTGTCGAACTATACATTTAATATAGCACTGCTGTGACCTCACGACATACTAATAATAAAAAAAATCAAATACCAGATCATTTCGGTTTGGAAGGGCAAGGCGGCGCGGGTCGATGCGGTCTGGGCGTCGGTTCGTACACTTCGTCGTACAAGCACGCGTTCGTGTACGTCGGCGCGTAGTACCGACTCTCGATTTCACTATACACGTTATCGCTCACTTCGTCGTAACCCCGTCGTGACGTCGACGCACCGTACCCGTACCCCAAATCATTCTGATACTTAAAAGCCGAATAATTCTTGGAATTCTCCAGCTGTTCGCTGAAATTCCTCAATTTCTCGCTCTCATCATTCGGCACGTATATGTTCTTCTCGTAATTGGCGCTTTGATTATTCGATTTCGAGTAATAGTCGAAGGTCTCCAACGCGAATTCCGGGTTAATATCGAAGTTATTGTACACTGGAAAATCGTCGGAGGTCGAGGGACCGCTGTTGTGTAGATTCGTGTTTTTCGATCTGAGATTCAGAGAGTCCGATATCCTATCGTCTAATGAGATTTGGGCCAAAGAATTCGTTACACTTAAATCCGAATTGGGATTTGTATGTGTGGAGACGGCGTTATTATAATTTAGGTTGGGATAGGTTTGAGATTCTTGAGTATCGCTATTAATATCATAATTCGGTCGAGTATCGTAAGGTCTGGATATTGAGAATTGTGAAGTGTCGAATGGGTCGTTTCGTATAGATGTACTAGGGGTGGAAAAATTGAGATTGTCTAAAGATTTAGCACCAAATAGATTCGGTTGGGTTTGGACATTTGATGAATATGTGGGTAGGCTTTCTATACTTTGCTGTCCCCAGTCCGCTTCTTGTCCTGCAAAATAAGCAAAATATACTTAAGTAAGAAAATAAAACAAATGAACACGAAACAGATACAGATATCTGAGACACAAATTTTGTTGTTATTTACTCATAAAAAATCGTTTTATTGCATTATAATCCGCCTTTTTGCCTAGAATTTGTCGGAAATAAACAATTAAAGGCCGGCAACGCAATTTCGAAACCTCTGGCATTGAGTGTCGTGGGCGGTATCACTTAAAATCAAATGAGCCTCTTGCTCTATAAAAGCTCCAGTTCTATATTAAACAATCGAACCTAGAAACTTGGCGGTTTTAATTATGTAACATCTTAGTACACATTGACACTTTATGTGATTGGTCAAACTCTATATAACTTTATTCATATAGGTAACCAAGTCTTATGAACGTCAACAGAAACTATATTAAATTAATTGTAAATTTACATTTACTACCAGTTCGCAAGTCAAGGGCGTAGAGCGGGCAAGAAGAACTGGCAAACTCTCCGCCACTCTTTTTAATCGACAAGTTTTGAGTCATACAAATTATTTGAACTGGAGCAAATCAATCCCAAGGATTAGATCATTTAAATAATTCAAATCTATAAAAAGCTTTATTCCCTAAAAATTAAAATGACTGTTAATTTGTTTGAGCAATTATTTATGAGTTTATTCACCTGAAGTTCGTTAACAAGAACCTCGATGACGTCATCGAAATTCCCCAAAATTGAGAATGAAACTTACCAACTTCAGGTACATCAATGGGTTCATCGAGTAACGAGAGATTCTGATTGGCTGGTTTAGTGGCGCCACCTGTCACCGGCGGAAGGTCTAAGTCAATGAGGAGGTCTTCCTTCACTATAAAATAGCATATATGTATTTATATATATAATCAAAAATATATCGTCTTTTATTGACATAACTTTTACACATTTAAAGAAAACACTTTTTACCGGATTGAAGTTATATATAATTATAAATTTACATTTATTTTACATAATTTTAAATTTTTGTCAATATCGACTAAACCGATTTGAATGAAACTTAGTAAAAAAATTGTCAACAAAGACTTACGAAATCACTTGAGACTTAAAAAAACCTCCTTTTTTGAGAAATCAGTTACCTTGACTCAGGCTCTTCGCCTGACTATCTCTGGCTGCCCTCGCAATCCTTTCATTGTGTAATGTCCTATCATTCGTAAGTTTATTATAGTTGAAGTGTTTGCTCGCATTGTTCCCGGCTCGTGTTGTCGTCGGTTGAGTCGATTCTATCGTTCTGCGCTTGCGCAGGATCACTGATTCATCTGCCGTCACGGGTGGAGAGGTGTTGGTAGAGTCTGTAAATGTATATAAGCACCGTTTAGAGTAATCCGCCGTTTCTTTTGACCACAATTTGAAACAAATATTTGTGTTTCATTTAAAATAAAATAGCGAATTTATAAGATTATTTCAACGTTTCGGGCAGATTTTATGACAGTTTCGTCAAGTGTTCGTAAATTATACGATAGTATTAGTGTTCGACTTTCTTAATAGGCTACGAGTATTCTATTCGAACGATATAATATGTCAGAGCTTTTATTGTTCCAAATACGGCCACGGAGCCCTATACAAATCTATCTATGTATAATTTATCTATACAAAGATCTATCATCATTTTTAGCTTACGCTGTACGTGGTCGCTTCTTCGAACAAATCGATACCTCCCACGTAAGTTGTTGTATGGCACAAAAATGCTATTTTGCTTTTTTGCTGAAAAATATCCTAATATGGATCATTATATCCAGCCAAAGTAAAAAAACAACAAAAACACTATTTTTAAAGGATTTGTCAGACGCATAATGTTTTAATTTTAAAATGTGGACGGATTACACCAATGTATATGGTTTCATGTGCCTATACTATTTGTACGCGGGGCGCGGGTTGGGTAGAATCACGCGCTCGCGCCTCGTATTGGTTACATTCAACGTATACAGTTGTAACTATCATATACCACAAGTGATGCTATCTGGGCGCCGCGGTATAATGTTGTTAAGTATCAGATGCAACACCTGGCATAGCTTCTACTCCGGAGTAAAATGTTGTATGAACAATATCTCCGCAAATAGACATATTACTTAAAATTTCTTTTAACCCAGTTAAGAAGACTAATTATATTACATTAAATACGAAATTTTAAAAAGATGCAACAATAAATGCAGATTTTGGTTTAATTTGAATCTTTGAAACGCTCTACTGTAAATTTGCAGTTTTGGAGATACAACAACTTACGTGGGAGGTATCGAAATTACTGACCCCAAAACGCAGCAATTATTCAACGAATTTGTATTGATTGTATAAAATAATTAAATATTAATATTAAATAAGAATTAAATATTAGTTATAATTTTATATAAAAGGGATAAATTCCAACATTATATGCTCATCGACGACGGTGGCTGGGCACCTTGTGGTCAGAGACCAGTAGGTCGGTCTAGGTTCCGCAGCATCAAGAGTGGAAATGGACCTTCTGCAGCTGAAAGCCAACAATTGGCGGGAGGTGGCACAGAACAGTGAGCGCTGGAAGATTCTGATTTCGGAGGCCAAGACACTTTTACAGTACGCAGAACTGTGAGAGTGAGTGATAAGACCCTAATAGGTATTATTTATGCATAACTTGATATTCAATCATCTGGACCACGGACACAAAATACCCGTCGAATTGTAAACAAAATGGAAATTGTTCGCGTTTTTCGAAGTCGTATTTAGAAGAAAAATGTATTAAAAGTAACCGAGTTAATCAATAAATGATACGTCATGTATATATATATTCAAGTTCACAACTCATTATGCACAAGTTGCACGTACTAGACCTTGATTAGCATGCTGTAGAGAAATATCACCTGTTTCATAATATTAGCACAGCTTATGTTATATTAGCAGTGTTGGCCTAGTGGCTTTAGCGTGCGACTCTCATCTCTGAGGTTGAAGGTTCGATCCCCGGCTGTGCACCAATGAACTTCGTGAAGAAGGAAAACATCGTGAGAAAACCGGGTTGCCTTAGACACAAAAAGTCGACGGCGCGTGTTAGAAGGCTGATCACCTACTTGCCTATTAGATTGACAAATGATCATGAAACAGATTCAGAAATCTGAGGACCAGACCTAAAAAGGTTGTAGCGCCACTGATTTATTTATATTATTATTACCTATTTATTTTCCATATGAAATTATATTTTACATTCCTAAACGGTGACTAATTGGGTTTACCATAGAATTAATCATTAAACTACACCTTTATTTATGTAAATAGATAAGTCTACTTAGACACTCCTACATTATCTACTTTTTAAATTAAATAAAACATTTGGTCATTTTTTTGTTATCGTAAGAAGTTTTAAAAAATAAGAGCGAAGAACTCAAAAAATATGTATTTAAAACCTTAACAAACTGTTAATTCTTATAAAATGCTATTTAATATTCTTCTAAAGACCTAACTTTAAGTTCAAGTCGAATACGAAAATATTTTTAAATGACTTCGATTATATTAGTTAGGTACATATGAAATTGACGTTTTGACCTAACATTCGCCTTTGGTTAGGAATTCCAAATTCATTCAATATTCCCGTTTTTCATTGTTTGTCACTCTATTTATAAAATGGAAAACATGAAATATCGCGACATTTACGAGCACGAGTTCCACCGTGGTTGGTGTGATATAATGATGTGTATGGCGGCGGTTTTTAAGGAGCTAATATATTACTGTAGGATTTGGTTGTGGAATAAAAAAATCCCGGATAGTTAAGTAATAGTTACGTGTGTGCGAGCTGTGTTTGTGTGTATAACTTATATAACTTACTTCGTCTGCTCGGCGACAATGTTTGTGCTTTCTTGACAGCTTGGACATTCTTATTTCTCGATACTGTTACGATAGTACTGAAAAAATATATTCATATTATACATCTTTCTGTAAGTATTTAGATAAACAAACAAATTTATGTACAACTAGCTGTACCCTGCCACGCTTCGCAGTGGCACATTGTGATTGTATGGTTGAGAAATGAAAAACAAAACAAAGAATACATTTCATATAAGTTTAATTTTGCAATACTTGTGGGAAAAAAAGAAAAAAAAAATAAACAGATGAAAACCATCCTTGATGCGTATTATATTTCATGCTAAAATGCAGGTGCAGAGCTTTTTGAGTTTTTGAAGCGTACACAAACCAACATAGCATTTATATATATAAATATAGATTTGAAGCAAGAGACGCAGCAAAACCTATGTCAGAAGGCGACACAAAAATACGAGGGAAAATATTTAAATTGACAGATAAATTCCGATTCACTTTTGAGCTGTCATCAACAATTTATAGATTAAAAACTTGAGAAATATCTTTGTTAAAATCTATATTTTGTCTATGCTTTATTTTAATTTTAATTCTTTAGATATTTGAAAAGTAATCTGACAATAGACAGTTATATTAAAAAACCAGTCCAAGCATTTAAGGACTAAGTGAAAATTAAGCGATTTTATCAATAGCAAAATCAAACTGTTTAATTCACAATACAATTACTGACCAACCAATAAATATGGAAGTAAAAAAACAAAAATGACAACAACAAATTCATTTCCGCAACTTTTGGCGCCACCTAACCTTTTGTAAATAAACTTTTCGTTAGGCTTATCGCTAGTAAGCGATCCCTTCCAAGCCAGTAAGGTAAAATAAGTAAGATGTGCAAGAATAAAGATAATGTAGCAGCCAAGTTTTATTTAATTATAAATAGCTTCTTTGTTTTCACAACAATTATAGACCTGTTCTTATTATTATGACATGATATTTAATGACATAAACCAATATTTTCTTTATAATATTACCTAGGAAATAATCCAATTTCTAGTGTGCGCTGATTCTGCCCCTTCCACCAATGCAACTCGACACGTTTATCAATCAGAATAATGGCGTCGCCTGCCTCTATTGTCATCTGACCTTGCTTTCTGTAGCTGTAACAATTTATACTCAAATAATATATCTACATACACCTGTAATATCAATCTTATTTTCTAAGAGTCATAACATGTATTATTGGCCTAGTGGCTTTAGTGTGCGACTCATTCCTGAGGTCGTAGGCTCGATACCCGGCTGTGCAATATCGAAGGAAAACATCGTGAGAAAACCGGGGTATTCTACGGGGAAATGTAGACACAGTAGGCGATTATAAAGAGTGGCGGAAAGTTTATTGCCAGTTCTTCTCTTCCGTTCTACGCCTGATTTGAGAACTGGCAGTAAATGTAAAATTAGAAGCATTTAATGTTACATATTTCTTTTTTGACGTTCATAAGTGTACATTGTGTTACCTATATGAATGAATGATTTTGACTTTGACTTTTTGACTTTGATCACCTACTTGTCCACTTAATAATCACAAAACGGATACAGATATCTAAGGCCTAGACACAGAAGGTTTTAGCGCCATTGTTTTGCTTTTTCATTTCTTCACAAAAAATCTATATTTATTTATAACAAAAAAGGTTAGCACTACTGCGACCTCAAATCCGACGCCAGTTCTCATCACGCAGACTCTAGTGGTTATTTGAATGCGTTCTAACCCCGGAAGCGCCGACATTACCTAATTAAATCTACGGTAATGGAAAACCAAATCCAAAAAGAAAAACTCACCTAAGATCAGCGAGAGCAGTTTCGAACTTATTCACGTCCATATACTGTAATATGCCGGAGAATGTTGGTCGCTCTTTTGGGTTTAGGTCCCAGCATTGCATCATCAGCATATAGACGTCTGGTGGGCAGGCGACGGGAGCCGACAAACGCTGTCCTTCGCGCATTATTAGACGCAATATCTCCGAACCATTTAGTCCTATCACAAAGAGACTATTATGTATACAATAAATATAAATATAAAAAAAAGAATATATATTTATTATTTTTATAAATTTTTAACTATATTTATTATTACTATGTAGCTTAAGAAAATTTTAAATACTAGTATTGTCTTTTATTAACATTACTTTTACACATTTAAAGAAAACACTTTTTTAACGGATTATTTTACATAATTTAAAAAAAAATATGTGAAATAATTATAAGATTATATAATACATAGCTTCAATCTGTTAAAAAAAGTGTTCGCAACCTTTAAATCGAATTTATTAATAAAAAAATTAAATATTCATGAACGTCAAAAAAAATCATAACTTTTACATTCGATGCCAGTTATGAAAAATGTGTTTATTCATTATAACAATACATTTCAATGGAACGATTTGAGAACCCTTTTAAGTAAAAAATACTCCACTATAGCCAGCTTTCCCATAACAGACTTATTAACTTAATTCCATGGCAATATTTTTTGTTTTTTCCATAATAATTTTGAATTTTTTGAAGTTATACTTCTTTAGGCGCGTTATGAAAAATTTATGAGAGTGAAATTTTACAATGCGCGCGCACCTGTGACACAAAATTAGGAGTGTGATTATAGCGTGCGCGAGCGAGATAGGAATAAGACAATCTACAAGTAAAAAGAAATAGAATATGCGTGAAGTTCGTATGCCAAGAATTTTGAATGAACATAATGACATTTGTCATTTACCTTTTAAACAAATAAAGGAGTTTTAATTATTTTTTCAAAGAAATTTAGCAATGCTTTTTGAATTATAATCAGAAGTGATTTAAATTGAATATTTAAACCAATACTAATTAATATTTGTGAAAAAACTGTGCTCATCAACCTTCCTAAGTGCTTCAATACAATTGAGGTTAACTATCCGTATGTATTATTAATATCGAGTAATGTTTTGATTAAAAAAATTACCACATTGTTTAATCAAAACATGTAATTTTTCTCTAGCAAATATAAGGACAAGAGACAAAAAACAATTGATGAATCAGTGTAAGTGCACTAAATTGAATACAAAAAAAGAGTTGTCATCTTATCGCTGTGAAACATCAAAAACTGGAGGTGGAACAAAGCCAAACTATTTTTAATAATGCCAAAGAAGTATAACTTCTTACGCGCGTACATAAGTACACGCACCCTTTTTTTTTTAAAACTGTTTATTACATCTTCACGATGTAATTTACTTTTTAACTCATTGGGTTACTAGCAAAGACGTTTTTTATTTTATTATTAATTAACTATTAATTAGTTAAAGATGTCATTTGGAATATGGTGTAATGGTTGCAGCTCCTAACAAACATTTAGTAAAATAAATAACTTGGCGACTAAAAACAGTGGCGGAGAGTTTATTGCCAGTTCTTCTCGTTCGTTCTACGCCCTTGATTTGAGAACTGGCAGTAAATGTAAAATTAGAAGCATTTAATATGTATTTCTTTACTGACGTTCATAAGTGTACATTGTGTTACCTAAATCAATAGATGATTTTGTTCCATAATAAGGTTTAAATTTATTGGGAAGGAAGACGTTTAAACAAAAAACAATTTTAGTCCTAAGTAATTTACGAACATCCTGGAGTCTTAGATGAACACGCAAAAGCATGTGTCACAAAACTATGACAGGTAAGGAATAGGTACTAAGATTCGAGCGACTTCTGCATGTCAGATTACCCGCAAATGTATGTAACCATTGGTAATATGAAATATATGCTTTAGAAATCATGAACGGTCCCACGATCTATTAACATCTATTGTTGTATAAGAAATAGACATCATAACATGCTTTCCTTTAAGCTTATGTAATTTTTTTTTATTGACATTAATTGAATATATTATCTCTATATATATATAAATATTCTCGTGTCACAATGCTCGTTCCCATACTCCTCCGTAACGGCTCGACCGATTCTTATAAAATTTTATATTCATATTCAGTCTGAGAATCGGCTACTATCTATCTTTCAAACCCCTAAGTGATAAGGATTGTTCACCCCAATTTTTTTTATGATACAGCGTACAAAAATACATACAACCCCTAATTTTCACCTTTCTACAATCTACCCCTATTTTTTAATATTGTAGATTATAATTTTTATTGAACTAAAAAAATGTTTCTTAGAAATAACATACATGGCATAACAAACGTTTGCAGCTAATATTTTTATAAATATTTCAAACGCATTTTTATTTTCAAAATATTAATTGTCGACGCTTTAAAATTTAAATTCATTATAACATCACACTATCGATTGAACAAAAATTTTATTTACGTTAATTGACATTTACATATATACATATACCCATTTCAGACATTTTCTTTTCAATATTTTAATTATTGGAGCTGTAACCCTAACGCAGGTAAAACAATAGGGACTCAGGGACTAGTATTACTTATTCTTACCTATCCAAGGTTCATCCCCAAAAGTATACATTTCCCACAATGCAACCGCAAACATCCATACATCCGATGCATGTGAGAATTGCCGCGACCTTAAAGACTCAGGCGCACACCACGGAAATGGCACACGCCGTCTCTCACTCATCACGTAGCAATCATCTGCGTCTGGCAATGCTCGCATCAAACCAAAATCACCTATTTTAATCTACAATAGATGTACATAACTTAGTAAACAGTTTATAAATGAGATAACAAACATAGGATAATAATCACGGCTCTGATTGATATTTCTTTCTATTACCACTTATGTACAAAGAAAACTTTGTGAGAAATACTTAAGAACCCAAAATCTACGACGTATCAGGCACTTAAGCTACTACCCTATTAAAATATAATTATTAAGAAATAGATAGATCAAATCTAAAGAGTCTGGTTTTTAAGCATCTTAAGATTAGTCTTTTGACTAATCTGAGTTTAAAGCATGAATTCTAGAACATGGATCAAATTTAGGATTATAAACATTTTAAACACATTTCAGATATGAAGATTAAAGAGTTGAAATTCTTTGAGATTGGGGTCTTCGTATTCTGATTGAGACCTACAACTTATAGGCTTTGATGTTATTCATAAGTAGTTCTAAGCATATTCTATTTGAAAGAAAATATTTATAAGGAAAATTTTAATAGTCCTAACTACGCCTAATTTAAGTTATAACATATTAACATTAACACTTACCAGATCTAAACTAGACAATAAAATATTTCTACACGCAAGATCTCTGTGTAGAAATCTGCATTTCTCCAAATAAGCCATGCCAGCTGCAACTTGTCCCGACCATTTCGATATGTAGTTCAACGACACTTTTCCATTTTGAGCTCTGATATAATCAAGTAAAGCACCCATAGTAGCTAATTCACAGACCATCATCAATGGATGAAAGACTACACCATGTAACTTTATGAGATTAGGGTGTTTTAAGCTGTGCATAGCCTCTACTTCTCTTCTGAAATCATCGTATATTCCTGGCTGTGTAAATGCATCTGCCTTTAAGACTTTAACTGCTACAGCTATGGTTTGATTTAGTTCTGACACTTTCCATTCACCTCTGCGTACTACGCCAAATGATCCTTTTCCTAACTCATTGTGTAATCTGTAGAAAAAGTATTTATGAAATAATATAATGTCTGTGACTCATTTAGTCAAGTCCAGCTTCGTTTTTCTTAAGGTTCACGGCTTAAAATAATATGTATTCCAAGGCTCAAGGCTTACCTACTTATAAAAATAAACCAGTAAAACAGGTGCAGTGTGTATTAACTCCATAACCACATTATAATTTCATTATTGAAATTAAAATTTCAAAATGGCTTCATATCTAAACTAAAATTTAACTATAAAAATAATCTTTATTTAATTAATTAAAAAAAAATATTATTTACATAAACAAAATTTTACAGCAAAAAAATATTTAATATTTAAGAATATAATAGTAAAATGAGTCAGTTTAACATTCATAGACATAATGTTACACCTATGTTTGACCTTGCATTTGATTGAAAGATAAACCTTAAAAGCAACTTTTTCTAAGAACAAAAATTATGCAAATATAAATAACAACTTTCAACATACACAATGTCCTTTTCTAATATAATGCATGTAGTTCTAGCTTCAGTCTGTGGTTGAGGTCTTAATATATTCTCTGTCTTTTCTTTTGAAACTGAACCTGAAGAGCCAAAGAGTTTATTCCAAAATTTCCTGTTCCATAATTGCAATTTCTTTTTTCGTACTGCATCTAGTAGTCTACGAATACCAGGTTTGCTAACACCAATTCGTTCTAGATCCTCAGTGTGGACATAATCAAAATGAGCAAGCCTAGTGATCTGAAACAAGTAATTACATATAGAAAAGTTGTAAGCCGAGAATATTTTTTGAGGTATGAGGGGGCAATTTGAATGTCACACCAAATATAAAAAAAACAACTGAATTTTATATTAAGACAAGATATTATTTTATATACAAACAATACTGATGAGAAGGTTACAAACACTCCTGTTGAATTTAGAAGATTTAATATCTTAGTGGATATTATCATTATTAACTTTTTAAATGAAATGTTCCTCAAGCAGAGAAATCATTTTTAATGTGTAACGTGTTAAGTGAATAAAAACGAAAAACAATATTCATTGGTTGTATTACACTTACTTGTAGTTGATCTCGGATTGGTAAATAAAATTGTTCGAGTTGTACATTTTGTAAAATTTCACATAACCAATCAGTTCCGGAATCCATTTTTATACCATAAACATTTCTTGTTTCGTAAATATCTCTTTTTATGGAAGCATAATAAACAGGATACACAAGGTCTGGGAATAAAGTTAAAGGAAAATTATAATGCCAATCCCACTGTACTTGGATTTGACATGTTTTATTTTCTATCAAAACACAACACAAACAAATTTAAGATACAATTTATCTCAGTAACGTTTATCAATTTAGAAATTAACAAACCACTTTAAACCGTGCAGCATCAACTTTTCTTTGCACAAAAAATGCTTGGTTTTTTTACATACATAGTTCGAACTTCGATGCAAAAATGACAATGACATCATTAATCATGGATTGACAGTTGACAGATTCGTTGGATAGATTGGATGGATTATTTTATTCTATGTGTTGCGGAATTGTGTCTAAATTTTAAAATTTGAATACATAAAACAAATTTTAATAATAAATTTAAATAAACACACATCCGTTTGTATTTTGACTCGTAATTCTGTGCCACTTGAGGCCTTATTATAAGAATCAACGCACAATTTGTTATTTTTGTCGCCATACAAAGAGTTTACTGTTGAGTTCAAATTTATTATGATATTGCACAAGATTTATGTTTTATGTTGGGCTTGGCATATGTCAAGAATGGATCCTAATAAGTCTATTAAATTGTTATACTCTTATTTGTAACTATAGGATATATTTCTAATAGCTTGAAGTCTATAATATGTTGTGATAAAATGCTTGTAGATTCCGTATCTTTCTTATTTCCGTAAAAAGTGCCTATTTAATAATAGGTTATAATATAGGTTCTAACATAAAGTTGGGACTTTTTTGACGCAATCAAGGTTTCCTCTTATAACTTTAAACTCACAATTTTTAAATTATTTTGGTTGGTCTATCTATATTATTTTTATAAAAATGCAAAATACTTCGCTAGAAAGCATTCCGGATTCTAGAACTGTGGATTTTGGGTGTGTACCGCTCGATTCAAAGTTGGAGAAATTTATTACCATACAAAACACTAGTTCGGTAAGCTTTTGCATCTTATATGCCTAGGTCCCTATAAAATAATCTGTCTAGTACTAATCTACAAAATCCTGTGGAAACAGGGTCTACCCTTGCCTCCGTCAAGAGCGTCTGCTGCGCACCCCAACTTTTCTGATTATCATCCTTAGTCCAACTCGGGACTCCTGACATGATTCGTTATGACCAACCATCACAGTGGATACGTTTTAGTCTGTTAACAGTACAAGTACTGTTATATGAATAATAATTTCAGGAACGTCATGAATTACGTGCGTCTATTATATTACATGCACGTTTTTATATTTCCTTTTCAGAAAGCGCTTACATACCGCATTTCGCACATGTACATACAAAACAACGTGGATAGGGTATTTAAAGTAGCAATAACAACGAAACCGGTGGAGAGCCTTAGCAGCGCGGAAGTAACAGTTACATTCAAGCCAAATGTACCGGGACAGTCTTTTACGGACTATTATTTAATTGACGACATTTTGGGAAATCTTTACAGACTGACTGTCACTGGTAAATGCTTTGGTAAGCAAAACTTACCCGTCCCGTATTCGTCCAACGGGAAACATTAGAGCAAGCATCTCCAAGCATATTTTGACGTCATAATTGATTTTTATGGCAAAAGGTGTAGTTAATTTTACAGCAAATTCGATTTTAGTCCGTGCATATTATATCTTTTCTGTGAATCTAATTACTAAGAAAATATTCTATTAATGGAAAAAATAAAAATATATTGGATAAGCCTTATGTATCTTGATTAACATTGTTAGTCCGCCCATGAACACTCTCAGTGGCAGAGGGCTCGCGACTGACCTTCCGGGCTTTTAAGAATTGTTACGCTCTTTTCTTGAAGGAGCCTAAGTCGAATTAAGCTGGTTCCACATAGAGGTGGTGCGCGGGCAAAAACTGCCTTAAAAACGGAGGTCGAGGTGATACGGGTGGAATTTCTTATTCTGCCTCGACGTCCGATGATGAAACTCAGCTGCAGTTATCTGAACAACTTCTTTAAACACACTCCGTGGTAAATGCGGTAAAGAGACAAAAGTTGTTTGATATTGTTAGTTTTACATTGGATAAAATAACGCAGCTTCGGGTTGCATCAGCCTCTGTTGGCAGGTTTAACCATAATGTTATTTTTATATAGAAGCCAACTTCATATAGTGTGATAACATCGTTATCGTAACGAAAGCAGATAGTTTTAGCAAAATATTACTTGTAGGCCCCGATGTTAAGTTAAACAGACGAAAACTTGTATTTCGGATTTGTAAAAACGTGACGGAACAAAGGACAGATACTATAAGCATCATAAATAAGTCATCAATAGACGCGCCTTATCAATGGCTTCTACCAACGACTGGACAAGGATATTTTCAAGTACTTCATTATATATTAATAGAAAAGTTGTGGCCTATCTTGTAAAACAATATGTTTTAATGTATCTACTGAAAGGCAAGAATTGTATTTTTTTTAAATAGGCGCACTAACGAAACACACATACACTTAAAAAGAACACAAAACACACAAAAACATAATACATCAAGTATGCACAAGATTTAAAGCAAAACACTACAATTATAAAACAGATAATAAACTAATTTAGACAAATATGCAATTAAGAATTAATTGTATTTATTTTTTGCAATTGTTATTGGTGATGGAACTGCTGCAGCATCTTACGCTTGTAGACATGGAGACTGTCATAAAATGGATCAGCCTCTTCCTCAAAGCGTCGTTTATGTAATTTTATATCGTTGCAGGGGAGCTTTGATGGTCGGTTGCCAATTTGACTAGGTATTTGGACTTGCGCCAGAATTTAGCATTCTAGTTTAGTGTTTCCCAACATGGGGGCCACGCTCCATAGGGGGCAATTTGATTGTTAAGGGGACTGTTCGAAAATTAATGAAAATTATGTGGAATTGGAATTTAAGTTTTTTATGATATGTTTTATTAACTGTGTATCGTTAACAATTTCCAAGTAATTTCATTCTACAAAGGAAAAATATGATAGGTATAACTTATGTTTTTTTTTTACATTTAAAGTTGTGTAGGTATGTTGAATGGGGGGTAGGCACAAAATGGTTGGGAAACACTGGTAAGTTCATACTTTTTCTATATAAAGCACTTGATTGATTTTGTGTGGGCATTTTCAAGTCGTAATTAAAATTTAAACATAAGTTATAGGTCCACAATCGTCACAGATCTAGCAAGATTGATATTTATTTATTATTAAAGTTCACCACATCATACATTATGCTATATCTACAGTATATGTCACATAGCATCTGTTATTAATAAATGTTACAAAAAATAAATGGAATTTGGAATTGTGCTGATTTTAAACCTTGCAATTAACTACATTTCCTTTTTATAGATATCAACAGGCGACTGCGGTGTGATTCGTGCATTCGAAACTATAACGGCGACCGTAACTTTTTCCGGTATGGCTCTTGGCATATACACCGCTGAGATAGTATGTCTTGTTTTAAACCAGGTATTTGATACATAAATATATAATATATTCCGATAAAACGGTCATCCACGCGTCAACCTTAACAGTCAAATTATAATAAAATTAACTTAAATTTTGAGGTTATGTCAAAAAAGTGTAAATACAAAAGTTTTAGATCTTTTTATTATCTACAACTTTGCTTTGACTTTATTCCAAAGGACTTTTAGTTTTGCCGGAAATCGAGATAAACCGTTTTTACCCTTAAAAACTCACCCCCATCCCCTTCTCGACCACAGATCGCCCGTAAATTATTTTTCCTTTCATTTTTATAATATTCTCCTCATTTTCCTATGGTTTTCATCCTACTATTATTTTATTTGGTTTCAAAAATTATCCACCCTGGTCTATACAGCTAGCATAAATGATATATGACAAAAAACAATTATTATACTAACGATATAGGTGGAATACAACATGGTTTAAACATTTACGAAAGAAAAAAAAAAAAATTATTAAATACATTTTACTAAGTAATACCTAAATCGGCTGTGCTGTGTGATGGTGTGAAAGTGAGGGTATGTATGTGTGGATGTGTATGTGGGGTGTGCTCATGATGCAGGTTATTTAGCGCTATGGATATTCTTAATACTGCTTTTAAGCATATTCCGCGATAGCTTAAACAAGTCAAGGCTTAAATAGTGAACGTTGTATGTTCGACATGCGCGATACAAAACTGAGCTTTTTGCATAGTTGGCGTTGATGCGAGGAACTTAATTATATCATGATCCTTATCACACGTTAAAACAGTATGGTATTGAAATAAAAATAAGGAAACTAAAGGCCCATTTAGAAAGGGAGAGTTTCTCGCACGTTTTGGTGCAGAAATCGTAGGCGACTATCACCAGCATTAATCGCCATAGCATTATCGTATCAAAATAATTACATACAGACAAGAACTTAATTCTCACCTACGATTATTTCATACGAGATTCGCCAAGGGATTTATCGCTAGGTAAGTTATAAAAACCGTGATGCAAGAAATGCAGCTCTTAATGCATTTACGAGAGAATTGTGTGTTGAGGGATTTGGTCCCAAAGAAATTAGTGCAAAAATAAAAAATATGAGGAGTCAGTATCTACAAGAAAGAAAGAAAGTCAAATCATCTTTGGGGACTGGAGCTGGGGCTGAAAATATTTACGTGCCTAAATTGCCTTTCAATTCTTTGGAGTCATTTTTAAGGAAATCAAATGAGCAATTGTAATTCAAGGCACAATGTGTTAGATGCTACAAAATGGTTTCTTCTAGCTATCCATTTTTTAACCCAACATCTTTTTTTCCGTTTCCGTTTAATTACTTATTCTCTTAGAAGAGCAGATATAATTAAAACACCCTCAAGCACTGCACTCATGGTAGCAACTGCCTCAAAACCTCTAAATACGATTATTGCTTTTGAAATTCTGTTTACACGGACACAATAAACTTTGCGAGGCAATTCTCGCCAAAGTGGAAGAGCGAGAGGTGTGAATGTTTA